GTGCCTGCAGCCCCAAGGCTTGGACACTTTCTTATTTTTAGTCACTTGTCTATTTTATTTCCTTTTGTTTTAATTGTTTCTTGTTTTATTTTATTCATTTAAAAATAGTTTTAAATATCATAAAATCCAAAAAATTCATATTCTTTTTTTTAATGTGTTAAATTATTTTTCATCATTTTTTATTTTAATTTTCATTTTTATTTTATCATTTTATTTTTAATGTGCTTTGTGGCTCATCACTTATTCTAATCAACTTCTTTTCTTTCTTATTTCATTTGTGAGTGAATTATTTAGTGTTTACTTGGCCTTGTGCCATGATCCCCCTAGGATTCCTAGTCCCTCTGTTTAGGATGGGAGTATGAGAGACATTAGGTGTTCAATCCTTTGCATGATAACATCAAGATAGTTTCATTCCCTTTCATCCCAACTTTAGGAGCATTGTGTATCACAACTTTAGGGTCCAGTTTCCCCTTAGTCTGTGTCTTTCTCTTCTCATCTCCTAAACAATTCAAAACACTTAATAAAGAATAATTTGTGTCGTACGCTACGAGCCTTAAGTATTTGAGAAATGATGGTTGGGGGGCCTTCTCTCGACTGTCTAGAGTGTTTAGCGTATGCCCTTCGGGTGATATGCGACGCATTCGCTCTCAAGTCATAGTCTTTAGTGCGACATGAGTTTCAAACCATAACTCAATTCACTTCTTGTCTTAAAAAATACAAAACAAAAACTTCAAATCTTTTTATCATTCGAATCTTAATTGGAAAATCATTTTCATAAAGAGAGTGCTGTTAACTCTTGGTTTTACCGCAAACAGGTAACGCCTAAGTCTGCAATGGTCGAGCTGCATACACCTAACTGCTAGAACTAAGGTTTTAATTGTTTCTTGTTTTATTTTATTCATTTAAAAATAGTTTTAAATATCATAAAATCCAAAAAAATCATATTCTTTTTTTAATGTGTTAAATTATTTTTCATCATTTTTTATTTTAATTTTAATTTTTATTTTATCATTTTATTTTTAATGTGCTTTGTGGCTCATCACTTATTCTAATCAACTTCTTTTCTTTCTTATTTCATTTGTGAGTGAATTATTTAGTGTTTACTTGGCCTTGTGCCATGATCCCCCTAGGATTCCTAGTCCCTCTGTTTAGGATGGGAGTATGAGAGACATTAGGTGTTCAATCCTTTGCATGATAACATCAAGATAGTTTCATTCCCTTTCATCCCAACTTTAGGAGCATTATGTATCACAACTTTAGGGTCCAGTTTCCCCTTAGTCTGTGTCTTTCTCTTCTCATCTCCTAAACAATTCAAAACACTTAATAAAGAATAATTTGTGTCGTACGCTACGAGCCTTAAGTATTTGAGAAATGATGGTTGGGGGGCCTTCTCTCGACTATCTAGAGTGTTTAGCGTATGCCCTTCGGGTGATATGTGACGCATTCGCTCTCAAGTCATAGTCTTTAGTGCGACATGAGTTTCAAACCATAACTCAATTCACTTCTTGTCTTAAAAAATACAAAAAAAAAACTTCAAATCTTTTTATCCTTCGGATCTTAGTTGGAAAATCATTTTCATAAAGAGAGTGTTGTTAACTCTTGGTTCTACCGCAAACAGGTAACGCCTAAGTCTCCAATGGTCGAGCTGCATACACCTAACTGCTAGAATTAAGGTTTAACCCTACTCGTTTAAAAAACTTGAACCAACTTGTGGTCGTCTTAGCCCAAACTACGTTTGCTCTGATTTCTCGTGCTAGACGAGGATACGTAGGCACAAGACAACGATGTCTTGGCGAGCAACCTTCCCCCCTTCACCCGTAGTTTTCCGAACTACGTAGACTCTGACTTTCCCATTGCACGAGGGAATACCTAGGCATAGAGCGGCGATGCTCTATCGAGTCTCTTTTCTTTTCCTTTGTCCCTGCAAGCCTGTGGCTTAGATAGTTTAACCCCCTTTTAGATAGACAACAAGCGTGCATCCCGTTGAGTACAACGGACATGAGGGGTGCTCATAACTTCCCCTTGCATAACCGACTGCCGAACCCAAGATTTAGTTGTGATGACCTGTCTTTTCCCTTTTCCGTAGGCTTTCTCTTATCGTTTCCTTTCCCTCTCTTTGGGATAAATAAGAACGGTGGCGACTCTTCTATCTTTGTCGGCCCCTCTTCGCAGCGATGCGACACTATTATTCATTCTAAATTAGTGTCAAAAAAACAGTTATTATTATTCTTTGCTCATGAATACTCTCAATTTTAATACGTGTTACCACTTTGACTGTGTATAAATGCACTATAAAGCAGCCAATAATACTCCATTATAAATTTTAAGCCATCATCTTCCCCGTTATCAAGAACCTTATGGTATGTGTTTCTAACATCGCCCATGTCAAAATTCTCGTTTATTGTAGCTTCTTAGAAATGAACCCCATTTACCTCTTATAACAACCTATTTCCTCTCTTAAGTCAGATTTGAAAGATTGGCATACAAATCCTTAATTAATTGTGATTTACAAGTAAACCCATATTTTGAGAACTTATTCCAAATATGTATTGTTATGAACAACAATCTCTTTCTGCAGTCCCCAGTCATCTTCATCAGCATTAAACATGAAACTCTTTTCACTGTTAATGGTTTTGGTTGTGAAAATTGAAGAGAATTGCAGTGAAGCCTCACTATTAACAAATACCCCGTACACTCTGGATTATGACTTTAAAAACTCATGTAGAGGTAAGGTTCTTCCTAGCAACCATCTTGTATCGAGTCAATGTTGTATTTGAATTTTTAAGGTTAACTAAGAAGTTTTTTAGTTTGAGTTAGAAGTAGGTTACTTGAGATGTGAGAAGCTTTAAGTCGAGGTAAACATATTACTTGAGAGGTAAGAAGTTGTTAGTTTGATTTGTTATCGTTGGGAATTGGAGTGGCTTTAAAGTCGTAGTAAGGGGTAGTTAGGTTGGTAATAAAAAATGAACCAAGTAGAAATCAATGATGGTTGAAGGAATGATCGACGATTGTCTGAGGTGATCATAGTTGTTAGTGTGTGAGGCACTTTTCGTAACGAGAGAAAGAGAGAGATAGAGAGAGTATGAAGAATAAAGATTGTTATTATTGAATGTTATTAAAACTAGATTATACTTATGTATATATACAACCATCTTACTTGTACATTAAGTAACTAACATAACAAACCCTAACTCTAACTAACTTGGGCTTGGGAAACAAATTGGATTACATCACAAATACCCCCTTATAATCCAAGTTATCGAACACAAACTAATTAATCATAGTCGATCTGAACTATTCATAATTTCTATCTCAAAGTTAGGAAGATGTCGATTTTCAATCCTTTCATGAAAATGTCAGCTAAGTATGCTTCACTCGAGCAATGGCTCACTTCAAGTTCACCTAGGCTTACCTTCTCCCTTAGGAAATGAAACCTAGCCTCAATGTTCTTTCTCCTACCATGCAGAACTGGATTATTTGCAAGATTAATGGTTGACTGGTTGTCGATCTGTAGCTCTAGAGGTTTCTTCTTCTCTACCTCCATCTTTTTTAGCATAGATCTGATCTAAATTTCTTGACACACAACATAAGATCATGCTATATATTCACACGTAACACTCAAATGTTTCATTTTCCAAGAATTACAATGATGTCAGTTTCAAAAAGATGGTTGACCACCAGAAAAACTACACTCTTTCAGGGGTAACTGATGATTACAAAGGATCTCAATTGCCAGTGTATCCAACGGCTCTCCGCACTTCATTCCTAACAAATAGTGTTATTTTCCTCCCTCTCTCTCTCTCTCTCTCTCTCTCTCTCTCTCTCTCTCTCTCTCTCTCTCTATATATATATATATATATATATATATATATATATATATATATATATATATATATATATATATATATATATATATATATATATATATATATATATATATATATATATATATATATATATATATATATATATATATATATATATATATATATATATATATATATATATATATATATATATATATATATATATATATATATATATATATATATATATATATATATATATATATATATATATATATATATATATGGATAACACCAAATTGAAATAACAAGTTTCAAATTCAACTTCAGTTTACTCTTCTTCCTCACATAGTGACTTGAACATTGGAGTTCTAACTTTGCAGACTCACTATTCCATTGCATCTGTAGCCTTAGTCCACCATCACGAGTGAATACCAAAATTAGGGTCGTTTTTATGGTCATTAATGAGTTAATCCTCTTTTTGGAGTGAGATCAGTATGACATTAATACCATTGATTGTCTTGTTTGTATGTTTATAATCCATGATTATTATCTAACACATTAATGAGTCAGAGAGGCCCATTAATTAAGTATTAAACCGGTCTCACAGTTAGAAGAGGTCTCCCGACCATTTATTACCAGGTCAGTCAAATGGTAAGTGTAGGTTTCCCCTTCAATCATAATGACAACCTATTTTGACCTTGGCCCGAGCTTACGTGTCCCCTTTAGATTATCTTCTAGGGTTTTACTGAATCATCATTTAAAGGACTGGACTTGTTTCATTATTGATATATCAACCAATTATAGATAAATTTTCATTTTCTCAATTAAAATAATTATCACAAATAAATATTTGTTCAAAAAATTTTCAAAAATAATTATCGATGAGAAACTTGTACTATCTTTTATATATATTAATAAATGACAAATATTTATCCCATAGTTTTAGATGTCAATTACAAACTTGGATCATATTTTTTATATTTATAAATAACAAATATTTGTCTCATATTTTTGTGTATCTCTATAAATTATTTTTTGCTTTTTAATATTCATCAATTATACGCTTCAACAACTTCTTAAATCACTTGTTTATAGATAAACAATTTGAATAAAATTAAAATGTGAAAAATATATAGTTAAATATATAAAAAATACACTAATTGATATAATTTACTCACGACTTGATTTACCATGGGAAGGCGAGGACGACCACCGAAGGTGCTGTCAACGCCGTCATCATCCATCAACAACAAAGATGATGATATACCATCTGGAAACAATTCGAATTTAAGCAAAGAACCAACTCAACATGAAACAGAGGAACCAACAGAGGAGACTGTGGAAGTACAGGAAATCACCGAATCCGAAACCCTAATTTCACCAAAAGGGGCAACAGAACCTAGAAGACTCTGGGTCGACATTATAAGAGGTAATCGGAATCCTGGAAATGGATTAGCACTGGAATTCATCGCACCAACGATTGTCAATGGTATTGCAGAGGTAGTAATTGAAGAAGCAGATACTGTAAAAGTGGTTAAATTCTGGGAGACTGCCTTGATCATGTATGTTATAGGAGGCGACCTAAGCATGAACATGGTCAAACAATTTATGATAAAACAGTGGAATTTCGTCAAATTGCCTGACATGTACTACAACAATGAAGGGTATTTTGTGCTGAGATTTCATTCACACAAGGAGAGGGATGATATGCTAATGAAAGGTCCTTACACCATATGGAACATGCCGATGTTATTAGCTGAATGGAAACCAAACTTCTACTTGAAGAATGATATGATGTGTACTATCCCTGTTTGGGTTCAACTACCTCAATTGCCACTCCACCTATGGGAAGATATGAGTGTGTTGGGAACCCTATTGATGACTGATATGAGTGTGTTGGAAACCAAACTTCTACTTGAAGAATGATATGAGTGTGTTGGGAACCCCCATTGATGACTGATGAAAGCACCGCTAACAGGTAACACATCTCATATGCTAGAGTCCTAGTAGAAATCGATATCACATAAGAACTCATTACTGAAATAGCTATAACAGATGAAAAAAGGGAGAAGATGCAACAACGGGTAGAGTATGAATGGCGGCCTCCATACTACACTAAATGTCAGCGTATCGGGCACAAATGTAAGGAGAAGCAACCAAAGAACCCACTAAAGAAGTGGATCCCCAAAGAGAAGAAGAACCAAGACGAGAGGATGGCTGCTAATGAAGATGAAACCTTGAAGATACCAACACAGAAAACAGCAGTACAAGAACATCCTAAATCTGGAGCAATCGTGCAAACGACAAATAGTAAACAGACAGGTTAAGATAAAGATATGCCATGGACAGAGGTTAGGAAAAAAGACAATGATAAGGCCAAAGGTATTGATACTGGTAAGAGTCCAAAGATCAAGAATCTAACGAAGAACTACGGGAACTTTTATGCAGCACGCGGGGATGGTTCAGCCTCGGTGTTCCTAGAAGATGTCCCCTGATAGTCTCTTGGAACATTAGGGGGCTGAATAAAGCGGGCAAAGTTAAGGGAGATCAACTCTCGTCTCCAAAAACTAACCCATGCAATTTCTGTTTTAATCGAGACAAGAGTGAAGGCGAAGAATGCAATTCGTATTAGACATAAACTAAAATTAAAAGGTAACTATATGGATAACTATTCAAACCATGAAAATGGAAGAATATGGATCCATTGGGATGATAATATAAGACACATGAAATTGGTGGAGAGCACATATCAGTTGGTACATTGTAAGGTAAATGATGTAAATGTTAATATGCTATTCTGGATGACAGCCATTTATGCACAAACCAGTTGAATCGCAGAAAGGAATTGTGGCGTGACATAGAGAAGATATATGCACATCAAAATGGACCTTAGATCCTAGTAGGTGATTATAACAATGTAATGAAAATTGAAGACAAAATTGGCGGTAATGACGTTACAGAGCATGAATACATAGACTTGATTGAAATGATGAGTAAAACGGGACTATATGCAAAAGAAAGCGAGGGAGATTACTTCACGTGCTTGAATAAATAGGGAGACAATGCTATTTACTCTAGAATTGATCATGTTCTATGCAATGTTGATTGGCTGCAACAAAATGGTACTACAACATTAACAAATATAAACCCCAACATATCTGATCATGCCATGCTTGTGTTAGATGACAATATTGAAATCCAGCAGGAATTGATGGTTTTGGAGCCTATTTTTATAAGAAAGCCTGGTAGATCATTAAATTGGATGTTATAGCAGCTGTACAAGATTTTTTCAAGAATAACCGTATGTACAGAGCTGTTAATTGTTCTATTGTCACTCTAATTCCTAAGCATAAGGGTGCGAAAGAGGTACAAGATTATCGACTTATTGCTTTCTGTAGTACCCTGTACAAAATCATATCCAAGATTTTGGCCAATCGACTAAGCAAAGTACTAGGAACGATAATAGGTGAGAATCAAGCAGCGTTTGTCAAAGGGCAGAAATTTCATAACCATATTCTAATCGCGTATGAATTGATTAAAGGATACGAAAGGAAGAATATTTATCCATGGTGTTTAATGCAGATGGGCATTCAAAAAGTGTATGATACGATTGATTGGAAAGCGCTTGAAAAGATTTTGAATGAGGTGGGATGCCCACAACAGTTCACTAAATGGGTAATGACAATGGTATCAACTGTTTCTTATAGATTTAACGTAAACGGGCATCAAACTGACATCATGGCAGCGAACCGAAGGCTTAGGCAAGGCGATCCTATATCACCCATGCTATTTGTCATTGTGATGGAATGCTTGAACGGATACTTATACAAGATGCAGGAAAATTGTGATTTCAATTATCCTCCTAAATGTGATAAATTGAAAATCACAAACCTTTGCTTTGCGGACGACTTGCTTATGTTTTCCAGGGGAGATAAGGTTTCGGTTGAAATGATGATGAAGACATATAGAAAGTTCTCGAAGGCTACAGGACTAGCAGTGAATCCACAGAAGTGTCAGATTTATTAAGCTGGCATGGATGAGTTGACAAGGCAGAATGTAATTCAAGCCTCGGGTTTCCAAGAAGGTCAGCTTCCTTTTAAGTATCTGGGGGTTCCGGTTACAGGTAAAAAAAAGCTCTGTGCCCCATTATTCATCGTTAATAGACAAAATCGTGGGCAAGATAAAACACTGGACTGCTCGATTGTTAACCTACGTGGGGAGGCTTCAACTCATAAACTATGTTACATTTGTGCTGACAAATTACTAGCTAACTTGTTTCCCTTTCCCGAAAACTGTTATACAGAAAATTGAATCGATTTACCGCATATTCATCTGAACAGGAGGGTTCGAAGGGAGCCTTAAAGCACCCGTGGCATGGAAACAGGTTTGTAGACCACGAAGTCATGGTGGTTTGAATGTCATCGACATTGAAGTTTGGAATAGAATAACTTTGATGAAATTGTTATGGAATTTGAGTGGGAAAGAATATTTGCTTTGGGTTAAATGGGTACAAACTTATTACATTAAAACCAACAAACTTATTACACTAAGGGAAGAGTTTAAAAACTTGGAAAATCTGGAAGAACTCATGGTGGGAGGAAAAATTAAAATGAGCAAAATGTATATGAAACTACACGAGTGTAGGCAGCCGGTAGAATGGAAAACTTTGGTTTATGGAAATAACGTGACACCGAGAGCCAAATTCATTTTGTGGCTTTCTTGCCATAGGCGATTAACAATGAATGACAGATTTCTTAAGTACGGTATGATGGATAATAATACGTGTTGCTTATGTGCGAAGGAAGAAACGTTAAACCATTTATTTTGAGTGTGAAAGTCTAAAGAACATATGGAAAGAGATTCTAAGATGGGCACAAATTAACCATAACCCTGGAGGTTGGCATAGCGAGGAGAAGTGGCTTATTCAGCAAACCAAAGGAAAAGGAGTCCGCGCTGCAGTCATAAAAATGGCAGTTTCTGAAACAATCTATGAGATTTGGAAAGCTAGGAATAACAAAATTTTTGGAGAGATGACTGAGATCAATACAATAAGAAAGACAATTATAGATACACTGGTGTATAGAGGATGGAATACTAAGAAACTCAGAAAATATTTAGTTATCTTAATGATAGAGGGGGGATATATATCTTGTTAGTAGTTTGTTCTTCCCGTTTAGTCTTTTGATGTTTTGCTTTGTAGCTGGATCCGATGGGATCGCTTATATTTAGTGACAATTTTTTATTAATAAAGTATTTTATTTTCAAAAATACAATAATTAATTAATATATTATAATTTATTGATTAGTGACATCAACTATACCATATATGAATTGTATATTCCAACAATATTCTTAATGTGTTACCACAATCGTAATAATTTAGCCATTTTTTGTTGTTAGAAAAAATTGACATAGAGAAAATAGAAGATTTCAATTACATATTCAAAGACATGACGTGGAAACTTTAAACTTGGTAAAAAAAATCACAGACTCTGTCAAATGACAACCAAAAGAAACAACACTATGTGAAAATGGTTACAACATATTATTTATCTTTAACCACCCCTAAGTCTTCAATACACCCACACCCTCCAAAAATAAATATTTAAGTACATAAAAAAGTCGAAAGTGCTTTTGAATGATGCATTTTGTAATAAAAAAACTTGAATATATTATAGACCTTTAGATTCACTCCTTCTTACATAACTAAGCGATATGAGACTTCTTCAACATGTATATTTTCAAACAACACCAAAAATCTCCACCTTGATTGAAAATAGTAGTACATTATTTTTCATTGTCTTCACCGACAATCATAGTCCAAAAGAACTAGATACTTCACCATAAAGAATATAGTCACTTAAGCTACACCACTTCAAGAATTTTTACATTGTCTCTATCGACAATCATAGTTAAAAAGAACTATCTCACTCCACATAAAGAGTATAGTCACATAAAATTACACCACTTCAAGAATTCTCACATTGTCTCCACTAACAATCATAGCTAAAAAAATATCACATTCCATTAAAATAAGATTATACTTCACTAGAAGGTAAACTACTCAAAGAATTTCCACATATCGAAGACCAATTTGAAAAGACATGATGCAACTTCCATGTTGACATAATCTCACAGTAGACCTTGCATCAATCTGAATAAATTCTCATGTACTAGTCATTAACCAATAACTTTTGTAATCCTAATTGTATCATCACATCTTTGATTTGAATTTTTCTCATGTCAAAAATAGTTATTCTCTCAATTTTATCTAGCCCAAGCCACATAATGGAACTTTTGACCATAGCTCAACAACACATGATGTAGAAGATCAAACAAACTGCAACCATAGAGCATACTAAGAGCTCTTATCTCTAGATAGAACCAAAAGATCTAATACAATTTGTTAAGAAAAATAAACATGGAGAAATTAAAATAACACAACCAGAAACACTTGGATATAACGTAGGAACTCCCAATCTAGAGGAAAAAATGATGGTCATTGTCAAATGACAACCATAGAGAAAAATTGTGAAAATTGTTACAACAAATAATTTTCCCTTAACAACCCCGAGACCCCAAGTACACGCACACTCCCAAAGAAATTACTTAACTATATCTCACAACACTCTAACACAAGAGTATAAGATAATTGAAAAAAGAGTCAAATACAAGTTTAAAGTCTTTTTGACTGGTGCATTTTATAATTAAGAACTTGAATCCAAAAAATAGCCTTAGACTCCCTCTTCCTTTAAAAAGTTAAGTGATGTGAGACTTCTTCAAGATATATATTTTCAACCAACACCAACATATTTTTGGTGATTTGGAAGAACTTAGTCTAATAATTTCAAGATATTGAGTTCAAATCTCGAGAGATATAATTGTAAAATAGTCATTAGTGACATTTTAAATAATCTTTTTTTTTC